ACGGAGCTCCACAGCCCCTCAGGAAGAAGCAAAGATGGCGCATGGAGCGAGGTACTCGAGCGAAAGGAGGGGGAGGTGGGGAGAGGCAAGGAAGAAATAAAAAGAAGCGGAAAAAAAGCAACACCAGCAGCCAACAAATGGCACTCAGAGAACTGCCTGTTCGGGTGTGTGGAATCCAAGCAGCCGCTGTTTCCCAGTCAAGAGACTATGGCCGCGGGAAGCAGAGGAGGCCGAGTCGGGGTGAAGAAGGGTGGGGGGTGGGAAAGCGTATATCGCTAATTACCAGTTGTTTTATCACCCGCTGGAAGCTCCGTGAGGCTGCTTTCTTGTACCCCCTGTTTGCTGGTCTCTGATACGAGTCCAAGATGGCAGATCCATGCTGCATTAGCTGGTAGGGGACCTCTGCATGAATCTCTCCTCACTCTCCATTCTCCGTCAGTTTTCTCACTCCATTTGGTGCTTTGCTGAGTTCTTTATCTCTTCATTTGATGTTTTAGGGTTTCAGGATTGTTGTAGTCTCTGTTCAGTTTAGTTTTTCGGATCTTTGCTGTGGAGGGATGGCGTGGTGCTTCTGCCTAGAGCGCCATTTTGCCAGAACCCAAGAATTTGTTATTTTGAGATTATTTTTGGATGCTGCTTTGAATTCTCTTGATTGCAATACTCTGAGCAGGGGCCTCACTGGTCACAGCTTTGTAATATGACAATTATGTGTTGAATTATACCTCCACAAGGTAAAGTACTGTACAAACACAGCCATTGTCACCAATTTTTAGAACCTGTTGGTGTAGAAGGGAGCCCTCTGAGATGGCCCTTCTGTCCTTGCCCGTCTGCTTCCTCATTTCAGGGTCATCCTAGTGGTCCACTCTCTCTCTTTTATTCCCTGAGGATGAGCTCATTTATTGCCTCATCACAAGTCCACCTTGGACTGTACCCAAAGCAGAAAGAGTGAGAGGGATGTGGATGTGGGGAGCAGACTTGAATATGGTCACTGGGTTTAATATCTATATCAATGGGATGGTGTTCAGGACACTGCTTCTTAATGGTGGGGAAAAGGAGGGTACCCCGTGTGGAGATGGCAGGGATCCCAGAGAAAAGGACACCAGGCAGGTATACTGTGAAGAGGATGGGTGGGGTTATTTTAGCATGATGTCCCTCAAATGTTAACGTGCATGCGAATCACCAGGGGATTTTGTGAAAAATGTAGAGTCTGAGTCAGCAGGGCCTGAGAATTTGCATTTCTAACCAGATTCCAGAAGATGCTGAAGGTGCTAGTCCATAGGACATACTGTGGTCCAAGGACCAGCAAGGCCTTAGAAAACAGCATGAAAGAGAGAGAACCTGTGAGCTTGGTAACCTGATGACTGACTGTCAAGTCTGAAAACTATGGATTTTAAGTATTGAAAAGTGTAGGGAATGGGCATTGATAGTATTGCTTCTTAGACAAAGTGAAAAGTTTCCAAGGGGAAGGTGAAAAATCAGAGGGAGAGAGCAGGGTCCGTTGACCATCTACTGTCCCCACCTGGAGAACATCCTTCCAAACCCTTCTCAGTGGAAACCCTGACATTCCTGTGCTGTTTTAATCAGGGCAGCCGCTGCCCTCCAGGCTGTGCCTTCCCATCCTCCAAGCATTCCACGGATGCAGTGACAATTTCATCAGTTGAAAATGCAGTCACTGAGAATCCTCAGGGCCCATTTGATTAATTTTAAACTGGATTTGATAGTTGTTTGCCAGGTGAATTGATGATCCAGCTGCAACTCCCACACAGCTCCTCCCACTGGTGGCATTTTAGGTCAAGAAGAATGTCACCAGCGAGTGAGGGACTTGGTAAAGCAAGAGAAAGAGCTCACCTCCAGCTAGAAGTGAGAATAGCAGGCGGCTGTATGGCAGGACATGAATCTGGGATTTACTCACAGTGTTATGGATTCGTTATTCATTCCTTGAAAAGCATTTCCTGGTATGGTGGTTATGTGTAAGTTATCGCAGATTTCCCTCGAGGAAAGAAATGAGAAATATTTACTTTCCAAATTTTAGCTACAAATGGGAAACTGTTATGCATAGCAATCAGCCTGGTACTTACAGAATGAAGTTAAATTCTGAGGAGAAGATCTTTGTAACATCTGGAAGCTTTTGGATGCCTGTATTACAGATGCTCCTGTGATTTGGGGCAGGGTGGTAATGAGGGCAGAGAGTAAGTAATAGGAACCGGTATTAAGGCATAAAGATAAAATGAAGTACAAAGACACTTTGAAAATACCACTTTCACATTAAACTAAAAATACTGAGTTTTGTTTTATCAGTAACACTTTTAGCACATGAAGACCATCACAATTTAAAAGCCCCTAATCCTACAGGTGAAGCCCTGGTGGTGCAGTGGTTAAGGGGTTAAGTGATATGGCTGCTAACCAAAAGGCCAGCAGTTCAAATCCACCAGTGGCTCCTTGGCAACCGTATAGGACAGGTCACTATGAGTTGGAATGGACCTGATGGCAGTGGGTTTGGTTTTTGGTATTTGGAGCTACTCAAGGCTCCTCTTTTATTTAACCCTCCAAAAGAAGAGCGGTCACGGTAATAGGTTAAATTGGAGAATGGGGCTCCTTCAGAGGAGTCCAGGCACCGAGTTTCTTCCAGCTGAGTTTAAAATTCACTGGGCACAGACTCTGGACAAGGAATACAAACTGACAGGCACCCTGGTGACAAGGGAATGAAGCCAGGGTTCAAGTGTGGCTCTGTCTGCCTAGTCTCTTCATCATTTCCCCAGATCACACGGAATCCCTGCCTCTCTGTGGCTGGTGACAGCGCTGCAGGCTTAGACTGCACAGTGTACTGTGGTCTGGGCAATATCCCTTTTTTTTTTTTTTTGGTGAAAATGCTATTTAATAATGATGCTTAGATACTAAGGAGCTGCAGTGGTCAAATATGGTCCAGGATGTTTTCCTCAAGTGGTTGGTGCTGCAGCATGCTTATGCTTCCTGTAAAATCCCTGGACATTGGCAAAAGCAGAATGCCTGGGGTTGGGGCTATCCGGTGCTGGAGATGGCAAAGTAGCTCCACACTTCCTGTGGGAGCCGGAAGTGAGACTGCACAGAAGATTCCAGAGAGAGGATGGCCCTCCCTCTCCCTTCTTTTTTCCTTTTTTTGGTGGTGGTGGTAATTTTACTTCCTCTGGGGATTGTATGAAATTGAATTTATCAGGAGGAAGAGAGAGAGGACATTTGAATTAGGGCGATTTTAATTTTTCTGTGTGAATAAGAAATTATTTCATATGTGAGAAGATTCATAGAGGTAAATTGATAGATTGCTGTAATTTCAGGAATTTCTGTATTGCTGGCAATGAATCTGTTGGGCTACTCGACATGTACTGCTAGCCAGTGGACTTGGTAAGATTTAATGGGAAATAGAAAATGATTTCGTTTATGTGGCACAGTGCCTATCTCAAGGCAATGCTTAAAACGTTTTTACTTAATGAATGAATGAATACATAAGATTAAGGATATCAGTAATTGTCAACCAGGGATGGGGTCAGATCAGCCATCCGTCCCCCACTTTCACCTGCTCTCTGCCCCCATCACCACCTGCCTTGGAGATTCTGTCCCTTTTTAAAGTGTCATGACCCCTCATTCCCACCTCCAACTTTAAGAATCACTGCAAAGGGGCAATGCTCTTCTCAGGCATTTGGGACAGAGAAAATGTTGGCAACCACTTATGGGTGTTTGAAAGCACCCAGCTTGGTAACTAGCACATAATGTTGCCGGGTGCCCGTCGAGTTGATTTCGACTCTTCGTGACCCCACGTGACAGAGTAGAACTGCTCCATAGGGTTTTCTTAGTTGTAATCTTTATGGAAGCAGATTGCCAGGTCTTTCTCCCATGGAGCCACTTGATGGGTTCAAACTGCCAACCTTTCAGTTAGCAGCAGAGCACTTAACCATTGTGCCACCAGGCTCGTTAGCATGTAATAGGTTCTCAGAAGTGCTGACGGAATTTGAATCAGAAGACTGAACTGTGTGAGCGAACGATGCTGAGTCTATGGTTAAAAACACTCTTCTCAACCTTTTGTTGTGATTTTCACCAAGTGCCCCCTCCCCCTCCCCTCCCCCTCCCCGCTTCCCCTCCC